GACTTTGGCCTTAAGATTTAAAAATGAAACTTGGAGCTGAACAAAATAAAACCAAAGTATAACATAGAAAGTTGTTTCCCAGAACATTTTAAACTGGAAGAATGCAACACATTGAATAATATCTGCAGCGTGAGTCGGGTTTTTACACTAAAATGAACAAAAAAATAAGCATGTGCTATTTTTGCACTTCTAGTCCAAGTTCCTTAAAACGGGGCTCGTACACAATCTTGAAAAGTCTGAAATTTATATTTAGTATTTTCCAGGTCTTAAAATGTATAAAAAATAAAATATAGGTTGTATTTGTGTTTGCAGGTTTTATTCATTTTATAAAGGTAAAATAGATTTTTCTTTTTGAAGTAGCTCAAACATCATATAAAATGCAGAGATGGAGGACTGAGCAAGTTTAAAACCAGCCCTAATTTTATTCAACCTTGCCGTGCACAGTATTTGTTGTTTCATTTGTTGCACGTTCTGCAACAAGTGAAGCACATCGTATCCCTGAAACATTCACTGTTTTCATATTTTACCTTAAATCAGAACTTAGTTAAAAAAAAAAAACCTAGTGTTTAACAAGAAAAAACATCTTAAGACCATAAACGTGGGTTAAAAATGTTCCTTCCCCCCTGAAGAGTCGGTTCTTGTATCCTGTCTGTCAATGTACAGTTGATCTGTACCTAACTGTCAAAAATGGCCCAAAAGAAAAGTTCGAGGTCTGAAAAGTTTAGAATTTTTAAATAAAAATGAGTTAGAACTGTGTTTTTAAATCCATCTTTTCAATCCTGTTTATTTTATTTTCTGTAATTTGCTCAGATTTACATTCAAAATTGAGGCTTTCTCACTCAAATTGTGATTATTTTTCTCTGTGGGCCAATTTGTTAAAGGAGCAAATCCTTCATTTTTATGCATGAAAGCTTGTTTACAGACTCCACTAATCTGCTCGTGAGGCGTTCACAGTTCGCTGTTCCTTTGTTTGTGTAGCTTTTTTTTCCCCACACAGTGAGGATTATGGGAATTCAGCTAATTTCAGCTGCGAACGACGGCTTGTGTGCAGCTCTTGTAGCAAACAAGCGGCTCTCTGACCCCCTGGGTAATGAGGATTTACGAAGGCCAAAAGTCAGATTTGTTGAAAGGATGACAGCAGCTGAGGCCGGTGCAACAATGACCGTGTTCACAAGCGCTGCTCGTGAAAACAGGCCCGTCTGTAACAATGTCCTGAGGCGACAGCCCGTCGTTTGGAACTGCTGGTTTCTCAGCTTTGTTTTCTTTCTTATTTCTTTTTCTCTGCAGGGTAGAAACAAAACGACTACCGTAGTAACAGGAACTAGACAAACCGCCTTTTAACATAAAGTACAGTGTGAACGCTGAATGACTTCGTAAAACTGAGTTAACTCTAAAAGAAGCAAGACACTAGCTACAAGCTAAAAGAAGCTAAATCCAATCTAAAAGCTAAATGTAGCAAAGGCTTTGCCAAAACTTAAATAAGCAAAAGTCTAGCTAGAAGTAAAAATGAGCAGAAAGTTTGCTAAAAGTAGCACAAATAAAGCTATACGTGTATAGCTAAATATGTAATATTTTTAAGTATTTTGAAAAGTATAGAAGTACAAAAAAAATACTAAGTCACAGTGCTCATCCAAATGAGCTGAATGTTTTGATATATAGCGGTTTAAAACGGCACAACATGTTCAGGAGCAGTAAGATTTCAAAACAAAATGTACAAGAGAGCATTATGAATGCTGAATCAGCGTCATATGACTGAAAGCAGGATACAAAAAGTAGTCATAATCAAAAACTTTATCAGTATGAGACTCAGTTCACTGCATGGTACCTGGATCTTTGAGTTCTTGAGGTTTTTGAGGGGATAATATACAAGGATTAATGTTGTTGAGTTATTTTAGGTATTCCTTGCAGCACATTTTCCTGCAGGGCGAGGCTGCTGCTGCTGTTGCGTAATGATAGCTGTCAGGTGGGTTCCGTCTTATTTCAGGAGGGTGGAGTACTGCATCTCAAAGCACTCCCAACAGGACATTCTAATAAAATATTCAAATTTTGCCTGGTGATTTTAGTCAACACTGCCCCCAAGTGTTAGAAAACTGCAACAACAGGTTGCAAAGAGTCAACACAGCTCCAAGCTGGCAGCCTTAAATTAAAAACGGATCCATTTACCTGATCTTGACTTTTCTAAGCCTCACTGGCCACTGCTGCATAGCACACCGTTTGATTGAACTCTAAACGAGGTCAAACGAGAGGATTTTTCATAACTTGCTGCATGAGTTCGTCTATTTTGTCCTATTCTAATCTACTAGATTATCTTTTTAAGTGTAAACTAAAGCAGGACTATAGATTGTTGGTATCTCTTGGGTTCCTACATGTAACAAAGTAACTTAGAAATTTAGTTTTGTTGCCTGCAGGATTCAGAAAGTGGCGGAGACAGCGGCTATCCCAGCGAGAGGAGGAGCGAAGGGGATCCAAACGACCACATAGACGGGGTAAATATTTCCGTTTGAGCTCCAGTTTTCTTCGATTTGAATACATCGGACAACTTGAAGTTCTAATGTACAGGTCAGAAGGGGACAGATTAGTTATCTAACGTAAAGAGTTTTTCTTCATAAACACATTTTTTGACCAGTTACCGTATTTTTCTATTTTTCGGACAATAAGGCGCACTTAGAATCCTTTAATTTTCTCAAAAATTAACAGTGAGCCTTATGTGTTAATTCTGGTTGTGCTTATTGACCTCGAACCGATTACACGGCGCCTTATAATCTGAAAAATACGGTAGTTGGGTTTTCTTGCTTTAAAGACAGTTTTCTACAAGGTAGTTTACATTTAAAATGCTTTTCGTCAAGTTCGAGTTCCTGACAGCAGGTTTTGAAATGCATGTTGTATCATCACATAGGCCCATCATCGCTACCACAGAACTTTATCTGAGTCGGATGACGACAGTATCAGAAGGGTAAACAAACACAAATAAATATGTGTCACTTCCATCCTCACCTCATTCATAATCATTCTGGCTGTAATCAAATAACCCAACTCTCACCTCCTTCATGTTCCCTTTTACCCACATCAGCTGCTTAACAATAATAAATAAAAAAAATCCATCTCATTCAGCTCCTCCTCATCTTCTTTGTTCCCCCCTCACTAGAGGAAGATGGTAGCTCCTCCACGAGTTTCTGCAAACTTAAATTCACAAAGTCCCATCAACGAAGGGGTGATTATTTGCATGGAGGCGTAGAAGCTCGCTGCTTTATCTTTGCTGATAATGTGCCAAGCATGAAGTTTGTACGGTTGATTAACGAGCTGTTGCTGTTTTTATGCCCACTGCTTTAAGCAAACCATAAAATACAGAACGATAAAAAAAGTGATTTTTGGATCAGAAACACCATCTACCTCCAGTCCCCCGACTTTGCCATCCAGCTAACGCTTTTCGCCACGATCGCTCTGTTCGTCTGCTTTCGTTTACTCGTGTCAGAAGTGCCTTGAGCTCAGATCCTATGTTCGCCCTGAGTTCTAACTCGGGCCTCTCGTTTTATCTGATGGTTGCTTCTGCTCAGCTGACAGAGGAGAAGTGGAGCTTCTTCCATTCGTCTCGCGCTCACGTGCACAGACCTTCCTGCGTGGCCACCGAGGTGGAGCGCCTCAACGCTCTGCTGCAGAAGAAGATCGGTCAGTCGATCCTGGGAAAGGTGAGCCGACGCAACAGTCATCCAACGGAGTTGAACCCTGCGTGGGTTTCACAAGATGTTTTCCGTTCAGGTCCACCTGGCCATGGTCCGCTACCACGAGGCGGGTCGTTTCTGTGAGAAGGACGAGCAGTGGGATCAGGACTCGGCCATGTTCCACCTGGAGAGAGCCGCCCTGTGTGGAGAGCTGGAGGCCATCGTGGCGTTGGGGAAGTGTTACCTGCAGCTGCCTCATCACATCCTGCCCGACATGGAGGTGGAGGTAACCTACGCCGTCTGATCTTTACACATTCGGGTTTGGTCTGTTTTTGTTTCTGACCCGTTTGTGTCGTCGGCAGGACAACGCAGGAAACCGGATGAAAGGTTTTAAGTACCTCCTGCAGGCTGCTGAAGCTGGAGACAGATCTTCAATGATCGTCGTCGCCCGAGCCTTCGATACGGGAATCAGTCTGTCAGCTGACAGGTGGGCGAAGGTTCATTTAGAGCCAAAAGTACACCAAGCTGAATCCTGTTGACGCTTGAAACTTTAGCATTTTTCTGCAAAAAAGCAGCACGACTGACAGAAACTGGGTTGTTGATTATAAATATCAGAACAAAAGCTAAAATGGCAAAACAGGAGGTAAAGGCTAAAACCAGCCCAAAAAAGCAAGTTAAAAGTTAGAAACAGCAGCATTTCAGCTAAAACCAGCAAAATAGCTGAAAGCTAAAACTAGCAAAGCAGCATAAAGCTACATTTAGCAGAACAGCAGCTAAAATGTTAAATTGGCAAACAGCAGGTCAAACCAGCAAAACTGTGGCTGAAAGCTAATATTAGCCAAACAGTAGGTGAAGGTTAAAACTAGTAGAAACATAAGCTAAAACTAGATAAATGGATTCTGAAATGAAAGCTAAAATAAGCAAAGCAGTAGCAAAGACCTAAAAATTGCATAACAAAAACTAAAAATCAGTTTGAGGAAAACATTGAGTT